GCTCACCTCTCAGCGGCTAACACCTCTAGCATCGGCCAGGTGCAACAGCCCAACCCTACCTGCTGACTGTCTGCTACCACTTCCTAGGGATGGTTCTGGACTGGCACAGATGGATCAGCCTGTTTTCATTGTCATAAATAACGAGTACCGAGTATGAAACAGGCTCAAGGCTGATGATTTCTTTAATGAACAGTGTTTAGCAACGTCCCCGGTGTGAAACACAGTCCTCACCATATTAGTCCAATCAGAACCGCTGTTATTGTCTCATCCAGGCCTTAGTGTAGATTGACAGAAAGAATACAGGCAGGGTTAGGGTTAGGGTTGACCCAAACCAAACCCTAACCCTCCAGTTTATGGTCCTTTAACGGTGATTCACAGCCGTTATTCACTGTCATTGTGCTTTACTGTTCCACAGACTGGCTGTAGCCGTTGTCTCTGTCAGTGGTGTCAAGCTGTGCCTCTAATGAGACGGACTTTGTTCTGGTCTTGCCTTTCCGGTACCTTCATGTTGACTCTCCTTCACGTCGTGTCCAGATCGCCTCTCTGTCTCCCTGTTCGTGACTCTCCAGGACTTTCCAGGACTGTGCGTCTGTCTCTACTTGTTGCTTAAGCTGTTGGTTTATGTTTCGTTCTGGCGCTGACAAAGATGCACTTTATGGCTCTGGAGATGCACGTCCATCCACCATGGCCGTCCTTCTTAATGCCGTCTCCTTCTCGACCCGGCGCTGCACATAAATATGAAGCCGGTCTATGGACTGCCAACCTTTCTTTCTTGCATGATCCTACTACCAGTGATTTACTGATGAAAGCATCTGCAACCAGAGAAATCACGGTGTGGAGTATTTGATTAAAATTCAGCGTTCCTGCGTCCCGTTGGCGTGTGCTTGTCTATTCCTGTTACGGAGCACATGCAACATCTCTGTTCTGTGTCCATCTGAGTGCGATCTATCTGGGACTCCATGTGTCTGAAAAACAAGCGTGTTCGACTCTCGTGTCCTAAATTTAGTGCAGATTTAGAACAAAATGACTCAAGATTTGTGTGTGCATGAGACCAAAATGAGTGTCGTGCTGCCATAAGTGGATGAATCCCTGAGGTCTGTGGGCAGCACATGGGTATATGATACCAGACACAGCGAGACAAACTGCACTGATGGCTGCAGTCATTAATATTGTGCCAACATCATAGCTGGCAACTCAGTCCTTAGTTCTACAGCACCAGATAAAGTACAGAGAACGAGAACACTGGAAGCTAAATAATCAACATCTTATATAATTATCATCTATTGTTATTCTAAAGACTGTCATCAGGAGCAGAGAGGCGCATCTCCTTCTGTTTAACACAGTAGTGAAGCAGTTCTATTAATCAGATGGAGCATTTCATGGAGCACTGAGCACCACGTTGGGTCTACATTTCTCTGATATAGTTGCTACACAAGAGCATTGAATTGGGTTTCAGTCATTCCAGGTCTGGATAAGTACGGAAAAATTAAAAGAGAGCATCGGAAAATAATTATGTTTCCAGACTACGACACTGAAACTAAGGCAGAAGTGTGACGTCCACGCACATCGCGTCACCGCAGCATCACCGCAGCATCGCCGGCGTGATGTGAAGCAGGACACACTGACCCAAACACCAGACGCCAATGTTTTTGTTGCTTGATACGAAAAGAAAACTCACACGGTTCTCATTTTCCATGACCGATCCACAAGAGGAGCTAACGTCAGGGTTCCTGGATACACTTTGTTTTCTTCTAACTTTATTCATAAGACACAGAGCTTACATGGAAGCTCCACATGTGCTCACCGTGATGAGTGAGGAACCGGACAGAAGAAGGAAGAATCCAGACCTCCAGCGGAGCATCGGTTGAAACATTTCAGGAGCTGTGTTGGGAGCGCTGCTGCCACTACAGCACCACTAATGTATGTGAGCGTCTACATGAGGAACCAAACCTCTGTATGACACACACACAGCCAGAACCAGAACCAGAACTACTTCACTGATCCCAGAGAGGAAGCAGCTTATAGATGCTTCTGCCGGAGCAGCACCAGGAGAACTGCTCTTTTCAGGTGTCCTTTAAATCCGTCCATGTATTTTTTGTGGTGTTTTTTTATTTTTATGTAGATGACAGGTTTTTATTCGTGTTATTATCGCACAGCCCTCGTCTCTGGATCACACACTTCCTCTGCCCAAACCGTATTATTATAAAATCAGCTAGAAGCAATCAGATCAGTTCTAAAGATAATGTAATGATGTCTTTGAATTGCATGAATACGTAGCATTGACGATGACCAATCATTAACCTCGTCTGAACAGTTTATTTATGCGCTGATGCAGTCATCAGAAAACTAAATATGTCTACGTGACAGAACCTTTGTGGCCGTTTCCATGGAGACAGTAAATAAACTAGGCTCTATAGACACTAAAAAATATTCATTTGACTTTTTTTTAAATTAAATAAAGAGACTAAAACTGTAGCGGGACCAATAACATGATGCCATGTCTTCACTCATGATGCTGAGGGAGGATCGTGAACAAAACGCTGAGCATCGAACTTGTGTGGGTTTGGTGTTAATTGATCTGAGCTACGTTATCTGAAGCTGCCGTCATCTCGCAGCTGTTTGGCAGCTTAACAACAAACAGTCAGCTCCTGACATACGTGTTCACCTTGAACTTTAAAAGCTTGGCCTGTAATGGATGGATGGATGGATTTAATGTGCTGATTTACACTAATGAGCCCAAACCCTGTCATCCTACATGAACACGGGAGTTTGTTCTGACCGGTTGGACTTGAGGCTCGGTTGGAAACATGCTGGGAAACGTAGCGTCATCAAACTATATGTGAACCAATGAAAGTGACCGACAGGTGAAACTAAACCAGGAAGATGATCAGAGACACAGGAGCTCTGGGACACATTCATTAACAGGAGTTCTGAGGAGGCGCAATAAGTGGAACCACCTGGATCTGTGTGTGTGTGTGTGTGTGTGTGTGTGTGTGTGTGTGTGTGTGTGTGTAGTACCTCTGATCAAACACACACTGGTTGTGTACTTTGCTTCGTAGAAAGTCGGGTTGTGTTCTGCTTCTGATCCTGAGATGCTGAGTTCAGTGTCAACAGGTCGGGACACTTGTCTTCTGTTAACTTGCTGGAAAACTGCACAATCTTTGTGAAAAGAAGAAAAATGGGGAAATTACTGAAGCCCTAAACAGGGTACATGTAATAAAGGGCGCTTACTCAACTTTAATTTGGACACAAGCGCATAAAGAGGTGCTGCTGTACGACATGATGTGATGAGAAAACATAGATTTGCCAGTTGGTTGGTCTTCTGTCCTGTCCAACATTGCATGTGCATTTGAAAGTCTGTTTTCTGGCAGCATTTCTGCTCATTATTACAACATTACACTCATCAAATTCATGACTGAGATCTGGGAATATGACAGCATCAGTACAGCAAAGTCCAGCGTGATTAGAAGCATGAGCGGGCAGATGATCAACAGGCTGTCAGCAGTTTAGCCACATTATTTAAATTAAGCAGCACAGACTCTGTGGAGAACGATGGTATCAAGTCAGCTGGTCGAGGAACTGTGATCGATGTTTACTACAGAAAGTTTGGTCAAAGTTAGTTTAACCTTTGGGTTTGTTCAAAACCTCGGTCATGATGTGACTGAGTGTGTTTCTGCCCCTTTAGACTGAGCTTTAGCAACGTCTGCATGTTCCAAGATCTCAAGCACAAACTTTTTAAGGCACATTATTTTTATCAAAATAGAAAAATGAGACAGTGGCTGTAAGAATGTTCCTTTAACTGGTCTAAAAGTGGAGAACAGAAAACCCTGTTGAGATGCTGAGCGCTGTGCCTCAGGCCTGCGCAGGCCAACACCAGGCGCTACGTGACCGGCGCCGGTAATCACAGAACAGACGTCCATCTTGGGTATTATTGTGGTAATAAATGACTTCCGGTGGCCGTTCACCTCCGTTTAAGGTTCTCAAGAGCAGCAGTTTGGGTCCTGGAAGTTCCTGAACATTAGGTGGTAAATGTTTCAGGAGCTGATCAATTATCCATCGGTACGCGTGCAGCCTGAACGCTGTATTTGTTACCCAGAATAACGACACATCTGCAGCGCCGCAGCCTGAGCAATCCATCCGAGCAGCTCCCAAAAGACCATCGATCATCTTCTCAATCCACACTGGAAGCTTTAAACATTTGAGACTACATATGGCTTTTTGAAAATGTACTTCTTCACTCGCTGTTTCTGCACACACACACACACACACACACACGCACACGTATATATATTTCAGTGGGAACACTTCATCTGTGGTGTTTTCCGTTGTTGTTCCTTAAGGTGTAATGGCTGTAATGCAATTCTATCAGTCCTGCAACAGAAGGTCAGCTTTAAAAGGTTTCCATTACTGAAAAGGTCGGCGCTTCCAGGTGTGAAGCACCACCACAGCACAGACGGAAAAGTCAGAAACAGCCAAAAAACATTTAATTGGATGAATTGTCTCTAATTATATTAGATATATTTATTTTTAGTGATGTGGATCTGTGCCCACTGGGGTGCTGTTGACAAACACAGGCTGCACATACACGGTGTTTAGTGTGTGTAGGTGTGTGTGTGTGTGTGTGTGTGTGTGTGTGTGTGTGTGTGTGCCTTCTAACCATGCACACATGTAAACTCCCGTCCCTGCTGTATTACCTGCTGTTTCACTGTGCAAACAGTGGCGTATGGCTAAATGTGTGTGTGCGCACATGGCATGCGTAAAAGCTGCTCCCTCCACTACCCTGAGCGGTGGCTAGGGGGTGCACTGTGGACACGGTGTGCGCATGGTAGAGAGACAGAGAGGGAGAAAAGGGGGGAGAGAGAGAGAGAGAGAGAGAGTCGGTAATGTATTCGTGCCTGTGGCTGGGCTGGTCACATGGGGAGAGCAGCCTGTTTAAAACAGCCTCGGCTCGCTCAGTCAGAGCAGTGCGAGACACAGAGACAGACGCACGCGTTTCTCTCTCTCTCCCTCTATCTTCACACGCACACACACACACACACGCACACACACACATGCTCATGCACGCAGACGGCAACTTTCCTCTATCGGACTGACATTACGCACACACGCGCCGGGATTGACACACTCCCCCCGCGACAGTGGAGAAGAGGATAACGAGTGACAGAGCAGGACCAAAAACCAAATACAGAGGCAGAGATTCCCAGTGAGTACCCGATTTTCATACGTTGCTTTTTAATTTTATTTTCATTTTTGTGGACTTCTGCTGCTGCTGCTGAGCTGTCTGACCAGGACCTGACAGGGACTGAGGAGGGACAGAGAGTTGGATGGAAGGCACAGAAATGAAAAGGATAGCCAGAAAAAATAAAGAGAGAAACAAAAGGAGAGGTGACAGAGAAACAGAGCGGAGATGTGGAGCTGGTGCGACATCGGAATACCTCTCCATCAGTGAGCCTCTGTCTCTGGGATCTAATGCTGTTAATTAGCAGCGTGCGCTTGGAATGAGAGGAATGCCATTGCGCGGAGCTGGAGTGGGGTTTGTTTCGGACTCTTGTGCTTTCCTCTGTGTGTGTGTGTGTGTGTGTGTGTGTGTGTGTGTGTGTGTGTTTGCCGGCTGCATTGTGCTGGTCAGTGATGTCGAGCAGATTCCCTGAGACACACGCAGCTCTGGATGTGATTAATAGAAACCTATTGATATGCAGATGGAGTGGATGGACCCGTCATTGCACTCCGGCGGTATGAGCGATGTGCTGGAGGGGGAACGGGGACCGTCTCGCTGCCTCTCCTCCTGCCTCTCTTCTCTCTCCAACTCTCGGTGTCTCCCTCTCTCTGCCCTGCTGCTCTCTGGCTCTTCCATCCTCCCTTCCCTCCCTGGTCTCTCCTTCCTGTCTCTCTTATTTCATTAACTTTCCTCCTTGTGGCCTGAGCTCTGGATGATCTCCTCATTCTTCTCCAACTCCTTGATTTCTGCCTCCTTCTCTCTCCCCCTCCACGCTGCTACATGCTGGTGTACTTAGTGGATTCCTCCGTTGCGTAGAAAGGGAGAGGATTGCAGAGTTGTGAGGAGGGGAGGGAGGGGAGGAGGGGGAGAAGAAAGAAGAGAGGAATGAAGGAGAAAGTGGAAGGAGGGGAGGGGAGGGGGGCATTGAAAAGGCCGACACTGGCTTGGACAATTAGCCCGGGGAGTCCGTCCTGGGGTGCTATTCTGAGAGGGGCTTTGGCCCCTGGGCCCTGGGCGCTGGGTCACGGGATGCCTTGACCCTTCCAGTCGACAGCTAGGCATGGGAGCCATTATCACGGCCTGATTGATTAGCACTGAGCGGAAATCCCTTTTCTCTTCACTCCTCGGGAGAAAAAGACGGGAGGTTTTTGTCCTTTTGCTGCTGCTGCTGGTTTAGTATCTGCCTGCCTGAATGTTGAAAGCTCGGCCTCTTTCTTTACTGCTGTCCGTTATGGAGGTCTGCTCTCTGCATGTCTTCTCTCTCTGGGCTGTTTGTCTGACTTGTTCTCTCTCAGACACGCCGGTTATTTACCAGGACAGGCGGCTTCCACATATTCTGATCTGATTGTGTTTCTGCTGCTCTTCTCTGAACTGAGCACCTGTAGAAACTTTCAGCATCTGGAGGCTAGCTGGAGGTTACTGAGGAAAATAAAAAAAGAGAAACAAGTGATAAAGGAGGAGATGTGAGGGAACGGTGATGAAAGGCAGAGCGGTGGGAGCTCATAGCGCCGGACAGCTCTGGAAACTGAGCTCACTCTGTTTTTATTGTGTCTCCATCTCCATCTCATTTCTTGGTTTTTTGATCTTCCCGGTTCCATCTCTCACTAGCTCTCGCTCCTCCTGCTCTCCCTCAGCACCCCCTCCTCAGACTGGGAGTTTAGTGGGTGTTTAGCCCAGCTCACGGCTGATCAAAGCCGTGTGTGTCAGAGCGGGCTTAGCCCAGGCACTCCTAATGGAGCACCGTTTTCATGCCTAGTTGGTGGTGGAGCGGGAGGGAGTGATAGGAGGAGGAGGAGGAGGAGGAGGAGGAGGAGGAGGGTGTGCAAATAGAAAGTCTGACAGAAAGAGTTCAGGAGAGCCAAAGACAGACAGACAAAGGCTACGAATGGCACAAGTGAGCACGTTAGAGCAGAAAGCTGAAAATGATTTACAAGCAAAAGGTGAGAAAGAAAGAATAAATACAGACACTTGCTGTCCAGAATATACTCAGAGGAAGAGAGAGGAAGGAGGGACAGGAAGGCAGACAGCACCAGAACCAGTCAGCGTCTCTCCAGCCCTATTTCCCAGAGTGGAGGGACGCAGCACCAGCAGGGCACAGCGCAGCCAGCACAGGATAGCTCCACACATGGTTTGGTTTTAGGCTGGAAGCAACACCAGACGGGAAGAGGCCTGTGTGTGTGTGTGTGTGTGTGTGTGTGTGTGTGTGTGTGTCAGAGAGAGAGAGATAACGAGAGGAATAAGAGAGCGAGAGGTGCTGGTGTTGTGTGTGTTGTGTGTCCGTCTGCATACGCCGAGCAGCAGCAGCAGCTCACTGATTCTGAACAGACTGTAAAGAGCGTCTGGATTTGTTGGACACTGATTCCTGAAGGGAAAGTCTTTACTTCTCCTTATTAAGACATTTTTCAGTCGAGGAAAAGAGTTTTAGTTTTAACCTTGAGGAATAAAAAAGTCAGAGAACGGTAATTAGACCTTATGAAGGGCTCTGACGGAGACGGTGGCTGTCATGAAGCAGGAGATGGAGCGTGATGGAGACGTGATGTCAGGCCTGGTTCACTGTGTTTCTGTTGAGTGTCAGCTAAAACTGTGCTTTACATACTTCTGAACTTCTTCTCTTCTCTCCCCTGTCATTTTCCTTTTCTTTTCTTTTACTTCCCTTCTCTCCATTCCTTCCCCTGAGTTCTCTGTCACCTTCTCCTTCTCTCATCAAACTCCTGAGTTTCCTCTCCTTTCTGTCGCTGACTCCCCTCCATCTCTCCTTTTCTTTTACTCTTATTCTCTCAGGTCCACTCTGTCTTACTTCCTCTACGCTCTCCTCCTCCCCTCCTCCTCCCCCGTACCTCTCCTCTCCCATCCCCACTTTGCAATGCTGATGTTTATGCTTCACACAGAAGAAAGGTAAGGTAAAACTAGGATAATATTTCCCCTAACATACTTACTGCCTGGGTAAACATCCTCCGACAGATGTCCAAGCACAGGTCTGATCAGAGCAGGGCCGGGGGGAGGTGGGGGAGGTGGGGAAGGGGGCAGATCTCGGTGCTGTAACGTACACAAAGCCTACAAATTGGAAGCTGGTGTGGAGAGAGAGGTGGGGCGGCAACAGTCAGACACTCAGGGGCTTTCACATTCAGGTGAAGCTAGCAGGCTTTCTGCTTTTAGCTGATCGTGGCATGAACAGCGGTGGATCTTACGTCTGCTGTCTGCAGGCAGGTGTCTGTTGTTAGCAGGAGGAACCAACGCCATCCATCTGCTGCCCGCGACGCTGCAGCCTCCAGTCAGACGCTGTGCATGCGTGTTGGTGAAGGTCATGGGTAGGGTCAGGGCTTCCACGCATGCATGTGTGGCTCACATGCTCCACAAGTTATGCCCTGACATGTTCAGTCCGTGTGCTGCAGCCCACGCAGACGCCGGCCTGTGATCACACGTGTTGCATATGATTATCTTCTGATTGTGTGACGTCAGGACATCAGCCTCACAGGTGAACCCTGAGTCGAGCATTTATAGGGAATAACTTCATAACTTGTGTGTCAGACGCATATTTAATCAACATTTTTAGCGTTTTTTCTGCTGCTCATCTCATTTTTCAGGTTCAAAATTAATTAAGCTAAAACTGCTATCAGCCTTCCCAACCAACAAAAGATTCCACATCTCATCTGAATCTTTCAGTTTTTGATATTCAGAACTTTACAAGTGAGAAAAGCTAAAAAAAAAACATGAAGGATTCAGATGTGCTAAGTGGATTCCGGTTTGACAAAACGCTGCCGATGTCACAGTGAAAGAGAGGAAAAGTGAGAGGAGGTGGAGCAGCGAGGATGGAAAGAGGAGATGTTTCAGCATTCGTGTGTGCATGCGCGCCGCGTCGACGTTTTTCCGTGCCTCTGTGAAACAAATGCAGGCGAGGCTTTGTGTGCAGCGAGCCTCCAAACAGCAGCGAAGACATTAAACAGCCAGCGCTCCTCTCTGGCAATGCACAGCTCCCACGCTTTCCTCCGTCTCGCCCGCTCTCTCTTTAGTTAGATGTGCCACTTGCTGTGTGCTTTTATCTAACTGCACCTAAGGGTGTGAAAACATGACAAGATTTTGTTAAGATTTGGCCCCAATTAAGCTGCCTCACATGCGTTTCAGAGATCCGCTTTTTACGACTGCTTCCTCTCTGCGCCCTGAGCTGGATGATGTGGCTCGGAGGGGCCTCGGCGTGTAATTATTTTGGTGATCCAAACGGACTCCTGTGCTTTCTTTGTACATTTTTAATGCGGGGAGGACATGCAGATGTTAGGCTGCTCTCTGATGCCATAACTCACGCCATGCCCTCCAACTGCACATCAGAAATGTAAAAGTTGTAACAGGATTTTGTGTCTCATTAAAATATCTCAGCTGTCTGCGGCTTCTGTGTGCATCTGGAAACTTAAACTATTCAATATTTGTGCTCCCTTCCCTGTCTTTCCGCTCTATTCGCCCGTTTCTCTGCTTTTGAGAAGCAGCCTTTTTGTCTGCCTTGTCAACTCTTGTGCGTGCTACTGGGTCAGTGTATGTGTGTCACATTCTGCTCGGTTCTGCTGTATTTGCATCCTTAGACAGCGCTCCATTCAGCCCCGTAGCATTCCTGCAGCCCTGGCAATAGAAGAGTTTGACTCCTCTAAACTTTGTGATCAAAGCAAACGAGGGATGAAAGGAGGAAAATGGAGAAAATCGTTTATGAATATGCATCACTCACCCCTCCTGGAAACGTAGCCCCCACCCCGCTACGCACACGCACACACAATCAAACAAAGGCTGCCTCCTCCAGCAGGGGGCAAACACTAAAGTGGATTTACCCGCAACTTAGTCAGGCCACGGACACGCTGCTAACACGCCGCTGGAGCAGCGCTACCTGACAGCAGCTGCACGCTTTAATGTGCACACGCTGGAAACGTGCACGCATTGGTTTTATTTAGCTTTCTGACACATAAAGTGCCTGCATTCAGCAAATTAAAATAATGTCCTCAGAC